CATCGTTTCCCATAGTCCATTGAGCCTTACTTTTTTCTCGTGATCACATGACAATCTTTCAAAATGAAAGTCAAAATGCCAGAATCGGTGGGTCACTGTGAAAACTGTCTAAATATGAGAAAATAAAGGGTGGCAGGTAGGTGAAACTTACATAAATGAAGAGATAAATGAAAAATGAACAAATTGATACCCGATTTATATAATTCCAAGGCCGTCCGTTGGCACCAGAAGCGACGAAGCAGCGCATCTATTTTGGACGGGCAACTATCCACTTTTTGATATGGGACGAGCTCTGACGTCCCACGGCCCCAGCTTGTCTGTAAAACAGCCGTTGGACGTCAGAGTAATCTCGGACTATATTAACACGTACATTTCATAAGAAAGCATCATTCATTTGTATTCAGATATCTGCATGTTTGTGTACCGATACTGTATTTCATACAGTAAATATTTCGTGATGTAAACAATCTTTATGTGAGCTCAGACATACATACACATAGTGTGTAAAGCGGGTAAATGTGGGTTTTTTTTAAACAAAAAAATACATCCTGTTTCCTTTACTGTTTGTCTTGATGAGAATATGTTTTATCGTTCTAGAAATGGAAATCAAGAAAATTGTTCAAATGCTTCTACTGCGAAGAGGAGTCTGATCAAGCGTATGCTGTATTTGGTCACATAGAAATAAAAAACCATCATAACTTCATTTCCATCAGAAATTAAAAGAATTATATTAGTGAGGTGTACGCATATTATAAACATATTTTTTTTTATTATTATTTTCAAAAGGATCGTATTAAAACTTACAGATTATTTATTTCGTTGTTTATTAAATACATTGGATAAGTCCCCGAGTTTATCATCAGTTCAGTAGTCAGTACTTCGGTTTTGACATGATTTATAACAAACCTTTCTAAAATTATTTACCTCCAAGGGGGACTGGGAAATAGAAATATGGTCATTTAGGTCCTCTTCCGACCGGTAGTGAAACCCTTGCCAAAGTGGGGCGTCCGTTTAGCTGTGCGGGATGTTCAAGTACACAGCCACGTCCGGTAAGAATGGGCGTGCCACGTTCACTGCACGTTGAGAACCCTTGCAACAGCTCTTTGAGTGGTCCGTAGGTTGCCTGTTGCAAGGCAAAATTTCTGTCCATATCCAATATACCATTTATTTTAGTGGCAGTCTGAATTTCCTGACCTTCATCCCGAACGTCGTCTGTTACATGACCTACATATTGGATTTATTGTTAATTGATGCTCGTCTTGAACATGTATGAAATATTTGCCACTGGACGTTAAGCAACCAACAATCAATCATTTAAAATTGTCCGTTTATAAATTTAAAAATTATAAAGAAACTTAGATTTCAGCTCTATCAGGCAAAGTTGACCTTAGATGGATTTGGCTACCCTTTAGGTCCTTTTGGTCATATAGCTCTTCAAATGTTTCGGTTCTCACAATCCTTGGCTTTCCAATATTCGGCTTTGAGCGTTCTGGATGAAAACAAATCCAGAAAAACGCTTCAGACGCATGAAATTTATAAAGTGTTGTTTTCATTCCATTCAATTCATATGTTATTGTTTTTTTATTTTTTATTTTTTTTTTTTTTTGGAGCGGGGGAGGGAGGGTGGCTTTTTGTAGAATATTTTGGTTTATATTGACTTTTTTCTGATTTCTGATTTTTTTACTGCATTTCCTTATAGATTTCTTGCTCTTATGTTTTTTGTCACTATGAAATATATATTAATCATAAAATAATATTGACGGTAAAAATGAAATGATTTGAAAGATTATGAGTCGGCCTTCAACAATGAGAAAAACCCATACCGTATAGTCTGCTATAAAAGGCCCCGACATGAAAATTATGAAACAATTTAATTGAGAAGACTAACGGCCTTATTTATAACCAAAAAAAATAAAGATAAACAAATATGACAGACATCAACCAACAACAATATAAATAAGATGTGGTATGAGTGCCAGTGAGACAACTCTCCATCCAAGTCACAATGTATAAAAAGTTAACAATTAAAAGTACGGCCTTCAACACGGAGCCTTGGCTCACATCGAACAGCAAGCTATAAAGGGTCCCAAAATGACTAGTGTAAAACAATTCAAACAGGAAAACCAACTGTCTAATCTATATAAAAAACGAGAAAGGAGAAACACCTATGAACCACACCAACAAGCGACAACGACTGAACAACAGGCTCCTGACTTTGGACAAGTGCATAAAAATGCAGCGAGTTTAAACGTTTTAACAGGCGCCAAACTTCATCCTAACCTGAGACTAGACCGTTTTAAAAAGGACCCAGTGATTTTTTATATATCGTATTCCTGCAAGGTTATGGTAATATGTTTTCAAAACAGAAAGTTATCATTAAACTGAAAAGGGTTAAATTTTATCAACATAAAAATATGTTTTTGTGACTTATTAAGAATAAATACTATTGTCCTTCGTTAAATTACAGTTACAAACTAGAAAAAATCAGTTTTTGAGCCCAAGATTGTCTTTTTTCTTATTTACATTTTCTTCAAAAAACCCGGACAATTTGTTGAAAAACTCAGACGTTTTAGATGTTGCTCTCGAAAAAACACGGACAATATAAAACACTGAATTATGAGTGAACTACATGGGAATTGTGCGTCGTTTGTGCTCAAAACATGTATAGTAATCAGAATAAGACGAACAGTCACGAGTACAACTATTATATTTGCGTAATAGCAGTAAATCGATCTGATCGCATGTAATATCATTCGAAAAACCTGTCTACACTCGAAAAAAGTGGACCGATGCACTCAAAAAAACACGATCTTAGCTGGACACTATACCTACCGTGAGATTTCTACGATTTTTTTGTCCGAACTATACTGTTATGTATCCACACTCCCCATTGAATTTTAATGAAACTTTTTAATTATCTAAACGGACACCGAAAGGTCAAAGTGTTTGACTGTCTACCTCATGATCTTATTATTAAACTTGAAAAATATGGCCCAAGTACATCTGCACAAGATTTATTAAAAAATTATCTCACATATGTGATAAGAGAAAGCTTTAGTTATGAGGCAGCAAGACTATGGAACTCATTGTGAAATGAGGCTAGGAGTCTATCAATTTTTGGCCAGTTCCAAAATTTATTTCTACCTGGTGTTTTGCAGAAATTGTACCTGTAGCTCATGTGAATAATGCCATCTCTTGCTGCCCCAGAACCAAACTTTCAAGCCTGCTTGAGCTTTAATTATATTTTTATTATTCTAAAACTTGCTATGTATATAATAGTTTGCTGTCTTTAGCTATAACTAATAAGGTAATGTGTCGTTTTAAGTCGAGAACTTCATACATAAATAATATCTTTTAAAATGTTTAATATTTGTCCATTCTAGGAAATTTCGGATTAAATTGCAGATTTATGGTCGTCTCTCTAAATTGTATAGTATTCACAACACTCGTCTTGTTTCAACTCAATTTAGCCGTAAGTTCATTCGTTTGAACTGTTTTACATTTGTCATTTTGGGGCTCTTGATAGCTTGCTAAGCCGTATGAGTTTTGTTCAATGTAAAAGGCCGTGCGGTGACTTACAGTTGTTAACTCCTAAGTCATATGGTCTCTGGTGGAGAGTTGTCTCATTGGTAATCATACCATATCTTCTTATTGTTATATTAGAGATTGACATATCATGTAAACGAAAACCCTACATGTATATGTTGACCTCTACGCATCTTTTTGTTATTGAATGTACTTTGGTTGTAAATAGTCCTATAAACGTATTTACACTTTTGGTATTTAGCTGAATTTTGTCTCCAAATAACCTTTAGATCTATCTCCGAATAACCTTCTGACGTCAAGTAACAATCAATTATTTTTATCTACGTCATTTTCTTTAAATTGTGATGTCAAATTGTATGGGAACTTGTGTGATTTTAAGTAATGGCGGACAAATTTGCATACAAGTGTAAATACGTCTTTTGAAGTAGATCCTACACTTTTTTCATAATTTTCATAATTCAATCTACATTGAAAATTTCCTGTCATTTGAATAACAGTCTCCGCATTTGCCGATGACCTGAACCATTTTCATGTATATGTATGTTTAAGACAACACTACCGCAAGAAAGTTACGTTGGAATAAAAATGTTTTATTTTGTTTTCTATGAAAAGCCGTAAGATACTTATTTCCGTTAACATGGTATGTGTGTCTAGGATCATCACCAGAGAGGAATGACATGCTTTTAGGATGTAGGATTTAAATGGTAAAACGTGGGGATGTGGGATATAAGTGCTAAAAAAAAGATGGGATATGGAAAAAAGAAGGAAAAAGGGGTAGTGTGAACAAATTACAAAAAAAGCTAGATCTGAGAAATGACCAATCCCCGTTTCAGCCACTCTTATCGGGTACCCTCAAGACCAAACATTTAAAAAGTAAAACCAATTTAAACGATTCAAAGCATAAAAACAAATAATCTTGACAAAACAAAATGATTTACCAGGAAACATTGTAGACCCTCCGGACAGGACGATGTTTTTGTAGAAATCTCGTTTGTTGTCAATTTCAGACATCATTATAGAGTTATAAACCATTTCATGGACACCACAAGATTCCATATCTATAAAATATGATTAATTGTGAAAAATTGAAATGTTGAGCGATATAAGAGAAAGAAACAAGGAATTTTCCTTTCATGGTTTACAAGGTTGAAATTCACTATTAGGAAACATGCAAGTAATTATCAATTCACTTAGTACTTATTTCCGTGTACACTAGACCAATGTCGGCTTTGGACCTGCGTCGCTGCATGCAATGCATGGGTTAAAGTAACATGTATACTGGAGCATGCTAACTCTCCCTTTTCGCTGAAAAAAGAAAACTATGACAAAACTTTTCCTTGTAGAATGAGTGTTGTAAAATTTTGGTCTATCGACAAGCAGGAAGTAGCTACACGGCCTGATGTAAATAAATGCTTACTCGCTACAACTCAACATCATTAAGCTGCAGACCCAAGTATTAAATCATTCCCTTTAATAAGAGCTAAGAAAACTTTGACGAAAAATTTCCTTGTACAATGAGTGTAGTAAAATTTCGAACTATCGACAAATAGGAAATTGATACACGGCCGATGTCTAAATTGCATACTCGCTACAACAAAAAATTATCAAGCTGCAGATCAAGTATTAAATCGATCCCTTCAATAGGAACCGTGAAAACTTTGACGAAAGATGTCTTTTTTTCTTTTGGACGGCGTTGAGCGGTCTTTCATAAAGTTGTCACATGTTTAGACGTGTTTATATTATATATAAATATATGCACACACTTTCAAACTTTCATCATAATCATCGTCGTCGTCTCCATAGGTATTTTTATTACAATATACGAATGTTATTGTAACGAAAGGAATTTTGTGATTCATACCTATAAATGATGGCCTGAACATTCATTCTGGACACCAGAAACGCTCGTTACCAACGTTAATCATAGTCCCATCTCACTGGTAATTCATAGGATTTCTCTAAATAGGATGATTTGGCTGATGCTTCAAGTTCCTGTTCGAAATCAAGAGCCGTAAAACAAAGCTTTTCCTTAATGTCCCTGACAATTTCATTATCAGCCGTTGTGACAAACATGACAAAGTTATAACCTCTATCGTGGAAGATATGTTGTAAATAAGCGGTTAAATCTCGTCCTGCGATATCAAGACGTTTGGTGGCTTGTGGTAGTGCATGTCCTGAAAAAATGTAAATGATAGTATCCATTTCAATTTTGTATAATCAAATCAAATAAAGTCCCAAAGACATAATATTCAGTACAGGAAGTTGTTAAAATAGATCAGAATTTAGTATGTATTTTAGACTAGATACCATCTAATTAACCATCAAGATGGCCTCCAAAGGCTGTCGGTGATCATACGATTAGATATGAACATACATATAAACATAAATACACAGACAAGCACGTGCAATCGTATAACGACAATTGTTCTAGTTCTGTTTGAATTCATGTCATTGATTCAAAACATATTTGAAACGTTTATAATATAATCATCGTTTTACTTGTATAAAAAGTTGGGGTTTTTTTTGTGAGTGCAGAATCAGTCAAAGAAATGGATCTTCCCGGTGACTCCTAGTTTCACTTTCGAATGTTGAAATTCTTTTCTTTTTAATAACTGAACATGCGTATCCCATCTCCAGCTAAGAGTTAAAGTGATGGGCAAATGAATATGGATTTAAATGAGTTGAATTATTGACTTGCAAGCCAGTAATACATTAGCGATGCTTTTGAGCTTATTTCGACAAAATTGAACCAAACTGACTGCTAATAGCGAAATAGTATTTCACAATTACGCGTTTATTAATGTTTGAAACAAAAGAGTCATACATGTACTACATGTAGTATAGTATTTTTTTTTTCCTTAAATTAGCATTATTTTTAATTTGACATTATAGCATATATTTTCCTTTTGAAATTGCTAAATAAATCTACTTTTGGAATTCCCTAATACATGCAGTGATTAAGTAGTCTGTATCCTTCACATAAAGTCTTTTTACAGCACCATTTTTATCAAAATGCTTATACTAATCAGAAAGTTGATCGTTTGAATATTGTTTGCCAAACATCCAATGGCAAATATTTCATGCATATTGTGACTTGGATGGATAGTTGTCTCATTGGCACTCATACCACATCTTCTTATTTATATATATTAAGCACGTTTATTAGGAAGACATAAATACATGTTATTGTTTTTATATGGTTCCATGTCGGATAGAAATAAAATCTTTCAATTACCTGTCCATATAGGTACAACATGTGATACTGCATCACCGACATCGATAACTATTCCAGTTGTCGTTCCAGAGGCAATTTGGGATAAAACTGCCTGTATTTGGACGGAAAAGGCAGGACTGTTGAATGTTTCGAACATACTCTGAAAAAAAGTTTGCATAAACTAATCTGAATGAAACTTACATTTGCGTATAGTGTTTTCATAATTTGAGAAATCTCGTCGAATAATAGTACCCAATAGAATTGTTTAGCATATACATGTATGTAAGATTGTATGCGGAGTATTTCGCGACCGTTTCTTGTATAAAGAAATGTGATATATACTACATAATCCTATTGTCTGTTAGAATAAAAAAGAAGCCAGTATTAAAACAGAAAATAATGTAATTTATAATATAATTTAATTCATTTCAGATTGGTTGAAAAGCTAAAGTTGAAACAAAAGCTGAATGATTTCTCAAACCTGAATCATACGTTCCCTGTTAGCTTTGGGATTAAGAGGTGCATCTGTCATCATAACAGGGTGTTCCTCTGGAGCCACTCTAAGTTCAGTATAAAATGTATGATGCCATATTGTCTCCATGTCGTCCCAATTAGTAACTATTCCTTGTTCTATAGGATAGTTTATGGTTAACATTCCACGTTTTGTCTGGGCTTCATCTCCAACGTAATTATCTTTTGCTATCCCTACCATGACACCCTGCAAAAAAAGAAAAAAAATATTTTAGCAGGTATTTGTATATTTTATTTCGGATACTATCGAAAATTTCTTTACAACGTATCGGATATGTTCTTAAGAAAGATGCGATAGCATAAATACTCCGGCCATCTAATAAAAGTCATATTTTTTTTTAATAAGAGCCACATTCTATATGTGCCTGTCCTAAGCCAGGAGCCCGTTGTTCAGTGGTTGTCGTTGATTCATGTCTGTCATATTTGTTTTTTCGTAAATTGTTTTGTTATAAATTGGCCGATAGTTTTCTCAATTGAATTGTTTCATATTTTTCATGTTGGGGGCATTTTATAGCAGACTATACGGTATGGGTTTTCTCATTGCTGAAGGCCGTACGGTTGACAATAATTGCTTACATCCACTTCAAATGAACTTTGGTGGATAGTTGTATTTTCTAATATTTCGGCCTCTGTCATCACCGAAGAGACATTTATTGGCGAATGCGCAGCTTGTGCAGTAAAATTGGTAAAGTTAATGTTATTACAAATCTTTTTTTCTTAAAAAAAGTTTAGAAATAAATTTTCATGTAATATCCATCTAACCTGATATTTAGGGCGACCAGTTATGGCGGGAAAAACTACTTTAGGTGCATCATTTCCAGAAAAAACCTGATTTAACCATTCCGGATCCGTTGTCAATGACAACTGCAGGAATGTCTTCGTCAATTACGTGGAAAGGCATACTTTTTTAATTCCAAAACTACAGATATAATAAACATTGGTCTGTTGTCACTATCAAAGTGTTTCATCCAAAACTTGGTCAAAGAAAAAGTAGTTCAATATGTTTACAAAAAGAAAACTGGCTCCAATAAGAATGGCTGCATTGCACTTTCGATGTGTAATCCCAAACTCCATATATATATAGAGCGTTATCGTTCCGGTCATACTTCCCTTTCCCCAGAAACACGGGTAAAGAATCGCAACATTATGCCACAACTGTTTCGGAGTTTAGTGTATTCTGTGTTCTACCATTTTCAGAAGGTGGATGAGAACTCGTAGAAGAGTGAGGAGAAAGGGGACAAGAAGCTGGTTCCTAAGAAGGAGACAGAAAAGTTCATTCAATACTCTCATTTAAGAACTTCATAGTGAGGACTCGATCGAATGTAGAAATTATTAAACATGTGTGTAGAATGGTCAAGGAGACATTCAGTCTGCTTCTTGGTAAAATTGAAACCACTGATCGAAATAAATCATCTTTCAGGTATTTTTTCAGCACTCTTTCCTTTTACTCTTACTAGAACTCAACTTACTTTACTCGCCAATTTTGCCATGTTGTTTTGTTTGGTAATAAAAAAAATGTATAATTTCTTAACTACACATGTATATCAGGCCTTTACCATGTTTACGAAGTAAATTATTTCTTTTCAATTAAAACATGTAAAAGCTAAAAGTAGTTTTTAATAGAAACATCAAATGATTGAAATTATGTGAGAGAAATCAAATTATATCTTAATTTAATTATGAAGCATAATAAACGTATTAAGTAATTATTGCTTATTATATTTGTGTCCTTAAATATGTATGCATCACAACTTAATTTATATATATAAGTTATGCCAGTCTACTCGGAATTAATGTCCAATTGATAGCAAACATGCATTGCTTACTCTGAATTCTGACTACCATCATCGCTACATTTTTAAACTTTCCATATAAGAGCAAATGGACTGTCTTGTTGGACATAAGTATTAAAAATCTACTTACTTTGACATGTTTGAAGGTAATACCTATTTTTAAACTGGAGTTATTTCCCATTTGTTTTGATTGACAATTTCTTCTTACCTGTAATCTATTTTTATCTACGATTTGCAAAATTGTATTCAATACGTATTATATACAGAACAAAGGTAACAAAAAAAAACTGGCTGGTAACAACCGTTACCGTATAGTTTTTCTGCACGAGTAGTCGGGTCAAGTCCGAGATGATAGCCGAGGACCTTGACCTGACTACAAGTACAGAAAATATACGGCTGGTTGTTACCATCCCGTTTATTTTGTTACTTTTGTTAACTTTGTATCTGACTTGCGCATGTTGTAGCACTTTTTTAATTAGAAAGTAATACATTTTGCATTTAAGACGAATGCATAATTAAAAAGATTGAACACACAAAATTTGCATACCGGTTTATACCACGATGTTTGAGATATTTAGTCTTTAATAAATCAGGGATTTTGCGTTAACACTAGCGCTTCTCCATTCTATTAGCTGTACGCGAGTAAAATTATTGCTTATTCCTTTGATACATATCAGTGAAGTAGGAGTAGAACGAAAAGTTGAGAAAGGGGGGACTTCTTAAAGTGACAAGCAAAAAAAACAACGTTTTAATCTATATTTTCTGTCATAATAGTCTACTAGTCTAGAAATAAGATAATGTCCTCTTTCGTACCCACTTTATATTCTAATAACAAAATAAATTGCCAAAGAGGAGGGTATTATAGTTTTGCCTCTCACTTTTACAAGTGTGTAATGCGGTTATGGTCCCCTTTCCCGGCTCCTACGCCCCTGCATTTATGTAAACCCCTCCACACCAAGAAAAAAAAACATACATACGTACAAACAAACAAACCCAAACAAATAAATATGTTTTGCCTCCTCCATCCCCCATTTTGAAAGTGGGGAGAATCGCAACCTTCCCCGGCTCATCCCCCCCCCCCCAAAAAAAAACACCCAAAAAAGAAAATAAACAACAAATATGAATAACAGATTTAAGACATTTAAAAATTCAACGACGTATGCAAATGAAATAAGAAATTTCATAGTATATACCTTTCCATAGACTATCCAATTTTAGCACATACTTACAACTTCTCGTCCAATCAAATTGCTTATATTTGCCTTCTAATTTTCATAGTACATACTTTCCCCGTGTACTAAGTAACTACGCATGAATGACCACAAGGGTAAGATTTCATTGTATCGTAATCATGATATTTAAAACAACAAAAATTGCCACTGGCTATTTTGAAATAAAATGCTGTGTTCCAAATTAAATTAAATAGTTTGTAATTGGTTTTCACGTTGATTTTTAAATACCCTGCTATTAAAATCTTTGGATATAAAAAATGTTTTTGACAATTGCAAATTTCTTTCATTTAAATAAAGGTTATTCATATGGTTCTTTATACCTCGATTAGAGTACAACGATATCTTAAAATTATGATAATGTATCATCCATGCAATTACTTTGTACACAAAAAAAGTGCGTACTATGAAACCTTGTGAAGGGAAATTAAAGCAACTTGGTGATAATTTTTCAAACTTTCTTAAGGGAGGTGATCTATTTCGTCATGAATTGATTGCTTTATTGATTATAAGTTGCTTAATGTTCAGTGGTAAATATTTCTTGCATGTTCAGGACGATGTCATGAATTGAAAAACTGTGATTATATATGTCTGAAGAGAATGTGCCACCTATATATACATATAAACATATTCTGATAAATCTTTTAGTTTTTACTTTGAAATAATAAAAGAAAAACACACAAAACCTATAATCTCTGATCTTTTTAATGCCTATCTGCTAGACTATATCTATGAGGAAAAACTATAAATATGTTTCAAATTTATTATAGCTTTAGTTTTACTGTGAAATCAAAAAATGTTTTTAAAATATGTAAAGCTTCCACTGCAATTTAATCATTGCCTGCTTTTGGTCAATTTATTTGGTCATCTTACTATGTAAGAAGAACATATATAGTAAAACACCGCTTTATATCAATATACATACTTACACCAGCAGCTACCATCTTTTCATTCTGGAGTTAAGGGCCTTTTGAAATCACATATTTTACAATGATACTAGTGAGTAGATTTACAAAACTTCGTTAATGAGCTCCGTTTTACAAACACCTGTGATACAAGTAGTCAGCCAAAATAAACTATCAATAGACAAATTAAAAGATTACTCGAGTTGTAAATATGTGCTAAATTAGATAGTCTATGAAAAGGTATATACTATGAAATTAAGAGCTCGGGGCAAGCCCCTCGCTCTAAATTTCATAGTATATACCTTTCCATAGACTAACCTAGACTAGCACATATTTACAACTCGAGTAATCTTTTAATTGGTCTATTGATAGTTTATTTTGGCTGACTACTTGTATCACAGGTGTTTGTAAAACGGAGCTCATTAACGAAGTTTTGTAAATCTACTCACTAGTATCATTGTAAAATATGTGATTTCAAAAGGCCCTTCACTCCAGAATGAAAAGATGGTAGCTGCTGGTGTAAGTATGTATACTGATATAAAGCGGTGTTTTACTATACATGTTCTTCTTGCAAGGTAAGATGACAAAATAAATTGACCGAAAGCAGGCAATAATTAAATTGCAGTGGAAGCTTTACATGTTTTGAAAACATTTTTTAATTTCACAGTAAAACTAAAGCTATAATAAATTTGAAACATATGGATAGTTTGTCCCCAAAGATATAGTCTAGCAGATAGGCATTAAAAAGCAACTACAAATAGATCAGAGATTATAGGTTTTGTGTTTTTTTTTTTATTAGTTCAAACTAAAAACTAAAAGATTTATCAGAATATGTTTATATATATATATATAGGTGGCACATTATCTTCAGACATAATCACAGTTTTCAATTCATGACATCGTCCTGAACATGCATGAAATATTTGCCACTGGACATTAAGCAACCAATAATCAATAAATCAATCAATTCATGACGAAATAGATCACTTTCCTTAAGAAAGTTTAAAAAATTATCACCAAGTTGCTTTAATTTTCCTTCACAAGGTTTCATAGTACACACTTTTCTGTGTACAAAGTAATTGCATGGATGATACATTATCATAATTTTAAGATATCGTTGTACTCTAATCAAGGTATAAAGAACCATATGTATTACCCTTTATTTAAATGATAAAATTTGCAATTGTCAAAAACATTTTTTAGAAAAGATTTTAATAGCAGGATATTTAAAAATCAATGTGAAAACTAATTACAAACTAT